ACCCGCCCAGCCCGGCCGCTGTCACTGTCGTGACACGGGCTGGCCCGGGGCCGTGCGGGGTTGGCGGTGGGGGCTGGAGTCCCACCGGGCCATTGGGATCAGGGAAAGAGCAGCAGCACCCACGGGAGGGGTGACGGGAGCGTGTGGCAGCCCCGGGACCGGGACAAGGGCACAGAGGGGAGCAGGGACCCCCGGCTGGGGGCACTGCCCGGAGCTCCCGGGGATTCTCACACCAATTCGGGCACGGAGGGAGAGCTCGGCGCTGAGCCGGTGGTTTCAGGAACAAAACCTGCACAGAATTCCCGTGGCAGAGCTCGGATCAGCCAGGGACATAAATCTCCGCGTGTTTCACCAGCCTGGGCCAAACCCTCGTGGCGCCGTGCCCGGTCCTCCTTAAACCCGACTTCTGCTCAGCCCTGCAAACCTCCAGTAGCCCAGAAGGGAATTTTTGGAGTGAGAAAGTTCCGCTTTGGGGCTTCTTGGCGCCCGGCAGCACCGCGGGGATGTTTTAGAGCCGGAGAGCTCCGGGATGGGACATTCCCTGCGGGACCGGCCGGTTCATCCCGGGGGACGATTTGGGGGAGCAGCTCGTGGGTTCAGAGCTCCCTGCTGGGCTGGCTGAGGTGTGGGGCGGTGGTCCCAGGATGTCCCGTGCCTTTGGCCATCGCTAACCCTCCCTGCCCCCCCAGGGAGCTCCGGGCTGGGTTTGTGTCCACCCGTGTGGCTGGGGCTGGCACGGAGCCCTGGCACCAACCTCCAGCCTGCTCCCGCCTCCCCAGAGTGCAGTTTTTACTCTGATTACTCAGGTGATGAGTGAGGTTTGTCAAGAGCTTTCTTGGAACCGAGGTTTCTCGGATACCTCCTCGAAAATATTTTTCCGGTGCTTTGAATCACTTTTTTTTTCCCCTTTCCCCCTGCCCCAGGCCCTGGCAAGAGGGAGCACTCCTGGCTGCCTTTGCAGGGCTCTCAGCCCCATGGAGTGTCCTGCCTGTGCCAGCTGCAGGTGCTGAACAAGCTGTGCTTTTGTTTGGCACCGTTTGGGAACGGGGGTGCTGAGCAGAGCAGGGTGTAATGCTGATCCTGCCGGGCACAATGGGGCTCAGAGATGCCAGGCACGGTGGGGACGTGATGGATCAGCAGCTTCAGGCCTGAGCCTGAGCCTGAGGGGACCAGGATAACCACAAATAAACCCAGGAGTTCCAGTGTGTGCTGGTGAGACTCAGGGCAGGGTCCAGCCCTGGCCTTGCTGGTCTGGAGCACAGAGCCCAGGAAAACACCTTGGCATTTCTCACTGTCAGCCTCAAATAAAGCCTGGAGTGAGGAGTGAGGGCTTTGAGCCCCTGATCAGAGTCCCGAGGGCACAACCAGGGTTACTGGCCCTGAGCAGCCCCCTGGGCCCCCCCATAGCCCTGGGCTCAGGACGCTCAGCCTGGGCTCAGTTCTAGACCAAGTCCCCAGGGTGGGTCTGGCTCCAGCTTGGCCACACTCCTGGTTCTTGCTGTGGGCCCTGGGCCTTGGAGCTGTCTCAGTGCTGGGGCTATGTCACCTTGGCCTTTGTCCCCTTTGCAATCCTGACTCTGGACTTCCAAGCCTGAATCTGGGCCTCTCCATCAGGAGCTTGGCTGAGGCTCAGGGCCCATCCCAGCTGCCACCCCTGCCCCTGTCATGGTTGCCCGTGGTTGGGACCTTAGAATGGGTTGGGTTGGACCTTAAAGCTCATCCCTTTCCACCCCTGCCAGGACCAGGGACACCTTCCACTATCCCAGGCTGCTCCAAGCCCCGTCCAGCCTGGCCTGGGACACTTCCAGGGATGGATCAGGGATTGTGAGCAGGTGACTCAGTTTTCTCCATCCTGGATACCCTGAGGTTCCTCTTGTGTCCTGTTGGATTTTCCTCCAGAGCAGCTGCCTCCACTGGGCCCGTATCCCTTGGGCTGTTTGTGGTCACTGGGGAGATCCCCCATACCCCAGTTCCAGGGGAGCCCATCCCTCTGGTAGGAGGAGAGAGGCCAGTGTGCTTGCCAGGAGCAGGACACGGAGGGCTCAGGTGTCCCTCCCTTGTCCCCTCCTTTGTCCCTCTGCAATCAGACCCAGCCCTGTTGGTCTGCAGGGGAAGGTGTCCCCAGTGCAGCACCCCTGGGACAGGGACACGAGTGGGGTCACAGCAAGGAGCAAGGTGGGAGATTTGTGTCAAATCCTATTTTGCCTAACCTGAGTGGTGACAGCCAGTCTGGGCACCCAGGGGCTTCTGTGGGCTTTTTGTGTGGAAGAGATCTCACCCCTCCAGGTATCCACCTGCTCCTCCTGCTCCCCCTTATCTGTGGGACAAATGGGAGTAGGAGCTTTGGGATGTAGCAGGAGTGTCCCACACCTCCAGCAGCTCCCTGAACCCCTTCCTTCCTCCTCAGCAGTGCTGTGAAAACAAAAAGAAACATTTGGGGTCCAAATTTCCCAGAGCAGCTGTGGCTGCCCCTGGATCCCTGGAAGTGCCCAAGGCCAGGCTGGATGGGGCTTGGAGCCCCCTGGGACAGTGGAAGGTGTCCCTGCCATGGCAGGGGTGGCACTAGGTGGGCTTTACGGTCCCTCCCAACCCAAACCATTCTGGGACTGTGTGTGCTGAGCTCAGGGGTCATTTAGGATCCAAGGACAGTGACAGCACCAAGTCCTGGGTGGTACAGAAGGATTTTGTGGATCACAGTTTTTCTGGACAAGCTCTTGGCTGCAGGGGCCGAGGTGTTTGGGTCTCTTTGACCTGGAATGAGACGACCTGGAATGAGGATGGATGGATGCCCAGGCAGTGGCATCTGTGAGGTGTGTTGGGAGAAACCAATACCCATGAGGAGCAAGAGAAAAGTTGATACTTTGGGTGAAAGAACGGAAAAAGTGATCAAAGGAATGAGATAAGAAATAACGGAAGGGACTGACTTCTGGTGGGATTATTTAATAATAAGGTAATTAATGCTTTATCCCTCACTGGCTCCTTTCATGTGAGGATCACAAAGCGCTTCACAAACATTAATTAATCTTCCCTAGCATCCCTGCAGGAAGGTCACAGAGCCACGGAGCATGAGGGAAACGTTGTCATTGATGGAGGTGGCTGCTCTCCCAGCACGATGGGGATGGCAGGGCAGGGACAGCCCCAGTTCCTCCCCAACGACTTCAAATGATTTCCAGTAACTTCCCCCCCCAGAGGGCAAAAACGTCTTTGAGTTGTCACAGGCAGCTGGGATGGGGAAAGGCTGCTTGGCAGAATGTTCTTCCTGCAGGGTGCCCTGCCCTGGAGCCTCGGGAAGCTGGAGCATCCCCGTGGGGTCCCGCTGTCACTGCTCAGTGTTCCAAACCTCTGTGGTTGTCCTTGTCCCCAGGTGCTGGCGGAGGTGGCAGCATGGCTGAGCAGGACACAGCCACAGGCTGCCCAGGTGGGAAGCAGCAGCAGCAGCCAGGTCAGTGTGCAGCGGGGGTTTGGGGATTTTCTCTGCTTTCACGAGGTTTGTGAGGAAGTTGAATGTGGGGCACGGCTGTGAAATGGGGAAGAAGATTTGGGGTGAAGAGGAAGGGGGTGAAGAGGGCCAGCTGGGGCAGGTGTTGGGAACAGGGCTGGGATGTTCCCTGCTGGGCAGGGTCTGCGCTGGGACGGCAGAAATGGAACTGGGAGAGGAATGCCCGTGACTGGAACAGCACAGGGGGCTCATCCTGCACACAGCCTGAGCACCCTGAACCAAACCCCCAGCCCAGGGGTGACCCTGGGGCTCGGGGGGAGGTGTGGGCAGCATTCCTGCAGCTCTGGAATGTTCTGGTGTCCCTGTCACTGACCCTGAGCCCCAGCCCAGCAGTGCCCATGGCTGCTCCTTGTGCCCTGGAGGTGCAGCCTGGCCTGGCTCCCACGGGCGCTGCTGGATCTCCTCTTGCTTTTCCAGCTTTCACCTGGGAGGTGAGGGCCAACGACCGTGGCTACCACAGGCAGTGCAAGAAGAAATCTGTCTTCTGCCTGAGCAAGAGGAAATACTCGGTGAGCCCTGGGCTCCCCTCCCCAGCCCCTCATCCCTGAGCCGGTGGCTGGCTGGGGGACACGGCAGAGATGCTCCAGAGGGGTGGAGAGTCACTCACAATCCCCAGGGAGAAAAAGTGCTGCTCCCCCCTGCCTGGTGCCCCCCAGAGCTGTCAGAGGAGCAGGGCTGAGTGAAGGAAACTTTTTAGTCTGGTGGTCTAATCAAGAGAAAGATTCTTCAAAACACGTGGAGTGAGCAAAACCAGATTTTAATCTTTTTTTTAGCTAAATAACATTGAGTTCAGTGAGCTGGGCTTTAGATCACAGTCAGAATAACAGAATATTCTGAGCTGCAAGGGAACCACAGGAATCCAAGATTCCAGCTCTTGTTGAATGGCCCACATTGGGAACAAACCCCCAAGAAAATGATTTTGTTCTCAATTTTACGCTGCCCTTGGATCTGGTAAATCCCTGTTTTCCTTTATGGCTTTGATAATTTTTTAAGGCATCTCCTGTGCTGTGACAAATCCTAAGAACACCAGAACGTTTTGGCATTTGCAGAGCAGGTCCCTGGTGTCCCACAGCTGACCCTGGCAGTGCTGTGACCCCTCTCTCCCGCAGGGCAATGCCATCAGGACAGCCAAGTACAACCTGCTCACCTTCCTGCCCCTCAACCTCTACGAGCAGTTCCACCGCATGGCCAACGTCTACTTCGTCTTTGTCATCCTCCTCCAGGTGGGCTGGGCACCTCGGGAACAGCGAGTTCCAGCCAGGCCTCTGCCCAGGGGGGATCTCTGGGGTTCAGAGGAAGATAAAAGGTGTCCCAGGACGTGGCTCTGCCGTGGGGTTCGGTGCCTTTCGGGAACTCCGGGGTTTAACGTGTGTGAAGTGTGGTTTCCTTAAATTGAAACCTCCCAACATCAGGAGGACGTGGAGCTGCTGGAGCCAGTCCAGAGGAGGCCACGGAGCTGCTCCAAGGGCTGGAGCCCCTCTGCTCTGGAGCCAGGCTGGGAGAGCTGGGGGTGCTCACCTGGAGAAGAGAAGGCTCCAGGGAGAGCTCAGAGCCCCTTGCAGGGCCTAAAGGGGCTCCAGGAGAGCTGGAGAGGGACTGGGGACAAGGCCTGCAGGGACAGGACACAGGGAATGGCTCCCAGTGCCAGAGGGCAGGGCTGGATGGGATATTGGGAAGGAATTGTTGGCTGGGAGGGTGGGCAGGCCCTGGCACAGGGTGCCCAGAGCAGCTGTGGCTGCCCCTGGATCCCTGGCAGTGCCCAAGGCCAGGCTGGATGAGGCTTGGAGCAGCCTGGGATGGTGGAAGGTGTCCCTGCCATGGCAGGGGTGGCACTGGATGAGTTTAAGATCCCTTCAACCCAAATCTTTTCTTGATTCTAGAAAATGAGTTTTGTTTTCATGTAGGCTAAGCTCACATTGGCCACAAATCAGAAATTAATCCCTCCAAAATCAGAGACCCAGGCGCATTCCACACTTCAACAAGAGGTGGAAACCCACCAGAAGAGGTGTCTGTAACAGAGGTGTTGATTTGATGGTTCTGAGATGGGTTCCTGCCACCCTCGGGCACTGGCTTGGGAGCGAGGGAGTCACTCAGTCACCTCAAGTGTCCCAAGGTGGGACAGGAGTTGAGTCAATGGTGTAAAATTCTCCTTCTCCAGACTTTTCCTGAGATCTCCACGCTGCCCTGGTACACTCTGCTGTTCCCCCTGAGCTGCCTTCTCATCATCCGGGGGCTTCGAGACCTCATTGATGACATTGTGAGTGGGGGGTGGCCCTGGGGACGCTGCCAGGGAGGGGCCCTTTGCTGTCAGCTGAGCTGAGGAGCTCAGGGTTGCTGCCACCCATCAGTCCTGAGGTGTCATCTACACCACATCCACATTTTTATTTTCCCTCAGGAAAGATGTGGTGTCCTGGCTGCTTTCTTTGGGGTCCCAACCCCCATTTCTGTCATCTTTATTGCCTTATAGTGCCAGTTTGGTCCCTAGAAATACCTGGGGGGGAATTCAGCCTCTTTATTCATCAGGACACATCTTCCCATGGCTCAGAACGCAGCTCTGGGGCTGAGGAGGGAGGTGGTGGCATCAGGGGGGTTTGTTTTTGTGGGACAGGACAGGCTGGCATGGCCCACCTTTCCCTGGGCTCTCTGTCTCTCCTGTGTGCAGGGCCGTCACCGCAGTGACAGGAAAATCAACAGCAGGCCCTGTGAAATCCTGGATGGGAAGAGGTGAGGAGCTCTGGGAGCTCTGCCTGTGTTTTCCACACCTCCCTGGAACCACGGACCTGGAGTGCTGAGGATCCTCCAGCAGCTGAGAAGGGTTTTGGTGGGACTGTCCCGGGCTCTGCAAGCTCCCATCACCCCCAGGATGTGCTGCAGGTCCTCCTGTGGGATGGATCGTGTTCCAGTCAGGGCAGCAGCTTTAGCAAAGCCCCAGTTTGCTGTGTTGTGCTGGGGGAGGCTTTCCTTGGCCACAGAATTCCTCCAGTCTGAGCCGTGTCCCTGCTCAGCACTGCTCCAGGGAAAGATGAGCTCTCCCCACCTGTGGTGCTGAGAGTCCCTGTCACCCCCAGGGACACGGATGTGACACGGGTCCTGTGCCACCCTCGGTGCTCAGCCCCCAGAGGTGGCACCAGAACCCAGAGACCCAAATCCTCCAGGAATTGGGGACAGGCTGAAACAGCCCCAGCCCCCGGTCCCACTGCTCTGCAGGGACAAAAATCTGTCCCCTGAATCCCCCCGCAGCTTCCGCTGGCAGAAGTGGCGCGACATCTGCGTCGGGGACATCGTCCGGCTGCGCAAGGACAGCGTCGTGCCGGTGAGGGTGGCAGGAGCTGGCTGTGCCCTGGGGGAATCGCTGACCACGGGCTCATCCAGCTGCTCTCGCTGCCTTTTCTGCTCCTCAAGGCTGATCTGCTCCTGCTGTGCAGCTCCGAGCCCAGCAGCCTGTGCTATGTGGAGACCGCTGACATTGATGGGTGAGGACAGCGACGGGGACAGGGACGGTGACGGGGACAGGGACAGGGTCAGGGACGGGACAGGGACAGGGACAGGGACAGGGACAGGGACAGGGACAGGGACAGGGACAGGGATGGTGACGGGGACAGGGACAGGGACAGGGACAGGGACAGGGACAGGGACAGGGACAGGGACAGGGACGGGACAGGGATATGGACAGGAACATGGACAGGGACAGGGACGGGGACAGGGACAGACACAGGGACAGGGTCAGGGATGGGGACAGGGACAGGGATGGGGACAGGGACACAGGAACAGGGACACAGACAGAGGCTGAAGACCCAGGTCCTGGGGACCCCCCGAGCTGGGAGTGTTCAGTGGAAACTGCAGGATGTGGGAGAACCTCCAAAACCCAAACCTACAGACACCCCAGAAAAGTGGATTTGACCCACAGATTTTGAGAATGGGAGTCCAAAAGCCCTGGTGAGGGTTCTACAGAGCACCTGGTGACCTCAGGCCAGTGTCTCCATCTCCCAGCTCCTTCCCAGCCCATTCTCCCCCCTCCCTGTGCAGGATGATTTCATGGCAGGGTCTCTGGGCCTGGGCTCTTCCTGCATGAGTGCTCCAGGTGTGACATGACAGGTCCCTCTCTGGCATTTCACTGCCACCACTTGTGTAATTAACTGCTAATTAATGGCTGTCTCTGTCCCACGGGCTGACAGGAGGATGAACAGCTCTGTCACTCCACAGGGTTGCTTTATTTTCCTTTCTCTGGCTCCTTCTTACAGGGAAACAAACCTGAAGTTCAGACAGGCCCTTCTGGTGACCCACCAGGAGCTGGGGAGCGAGGAGAGCATGGCTGCCTTCGATGGTGAGTCTGCTGGGTGGGGGAGGATGTGGCCAATCCCACTGGGATGGGATGGGATGGATTCAGCCCTGGGAATTCTCTGATCTCGTCTCCATCAGTCCAACAAGAGGCTGGCAGCCAAAGGCCTGGTGGGGAGGCACTTCCCATCACTTCTGTGCTGGATCCACCAGGGCTGTGCACCTTCCCCCTGCCCTGGATCTTGATTTTCCCACTGGAACCAAGCTCTTGGTTCCCAAATCTGAGCTCAGCCGCTGCTGCTCCTCCACAGGGTGCAGAACTCGCCTCTCCAAGGCCTTGGGGATGAAGGGGGTTGTGTTTGTACCTTCTCCAGTTCACAGCCCACTGAGGTTCCTGCACTGACCAACCTCCCAGCACCTCCCTTAGCCTTAACCTGAGCCATCCAAATCCCACCTAGAGATGCCCTGACAAACCCTGAAGCTCCCCAGGAAGCCCCAGGCACCCCTCTTTGGGGGGAATGGTGCCTAGAGAGGCTCCCTGAACAGAGGCTAGACAGAGTAAAGGAATAAAGCAGGTATTTATTAAAAAGCTGTGGAGCTTTGGCTCCACCAAAGATGGACTCAGGATGGACTCTGAGTCACGAGGTTTCACACTTTGATAACTTTTGGTCCATTTCCATATTGGGGTTAATTGTCCAATTACAGTGTCAGGTGATGCAGTCCCATCCTCCCAGACTGCTCTCCTCAGTTCCTTGCTGGTTACACTTTTTGGGCCCAAAGCTGCAGCGGTGTCCTTGGTTGTGGGGCTGGAGAAGGATCCGTGTGTGTGCCTGAGCTGTGAGGAGAACCCACTAACGCTTTGTGTGAAGTTCAGAGTCACTAACGCAGCGCAGAACCTGGAAAACACAAAAACCCTTCAGTCACAGGGACACGAGGGGAGGAAGGTTCCCTGTGGTCCCTGACGTTCCGTGTGCCAGGGCGGGTGATGTGCGAGGAGCCCAGCAGCCGCATGCTCACCTTCTCGGGCGCGCTGCGCTGGCGGGGCCGCAGCCACGGGCTGGACAGCGGCCGGATCCTCCTGCGGGGCTGCCGCGTCCGGAACACCGCGCTGTGCCACGGGCTGGTGCTGTACGCGGGTGAGTGTCCCTGCCCGGCCCGGGGGGACAGGAATGAACA